AGCATCCCAGGTGATGCTTTTAGCATCCCAGGTGATGCTTTTAGCATTTCAGGTGAAGCTACTAGAAATCCGGGTGATGCTACTAGCATCCCAGTTGATGCTACTAGCATTCCAGGTAATGCTCACTTTTCTAGACCCTAAGGGGACTAAAGGAGTAAGCGGACTATCCAGTGGGGAGGCGCGTCTCCCCACTTAACACACCTTTTATTTCAGCGTCGCGGCGTGGGGGCGCGAAGCGCCTCCCGAAGAGCCGCGAGCCATGCACGTCTCTGTGTACACCATTATTCCTACCCTTAGTCCCCTCAGTCCCTTAGTCCCTTTAGTCCCTTTAGTCCCTTAGTCCCTTAGTTCCTTCGTCCCTTTAGTCCCTTTTGTCCCTTAGTGCGTTTAGTCCCTTAGTCCCTCTGTCTTGGTAAAAATCAGGTGTTATTTTTTTTTTCAAAATTCAAATTTAAATAAAAAAACCCATAGACTCGTACAATCGGAGGAAACCCACACACCTCTATCTTAGTCTCGGCGCGTGGTTCCCCGAAGAGCGCCGAACGGCCGCCTTTGGTTTGATAATCTCGACACAAATCCTTAGTTCAATTATAAATTCGAATTTGAATAAAAATTTATCTTTTACTTTTTTGGCCGTAGTTATATGGGTGCCTTATTCGAATTATAAATTCGAATTCGAATTAAAATTTATCTTTTACCTTTTTGGCCGTAGTTATATGAGTGCCTTATTCGAATTAAAATTTATCTTTTACTTTTTTGGCCGTAGTTATATGGGTGCCTTATTCGAATTATCAGTTCAAATTTGAAAAAAAGTTTATCTTTTCCTGCTGCTATGAAAAAGGGGGTGCGCGCCCGAAATTTTCATTTATATTCGAACTCGAATTAGGCAGCTACTCACTAAAGTGGTGCACTTGTCGTGTCGTGACTAAACAATATTATCTACGAATACAACAAGTCAATGTATGTATATATGAAACTGAAGTCTATATAGATCTCTTTAGTAATAAGCATAGAGAAGATTTTTCTGTGGTTAAGTAGTACCATTTATAATGAAGTGCTATTTTCTTACCATAGTAATTATTTTCTGGCGTCGATAATGTTTAGAGATTCTCGACGAAATGAATGGCAGAAATCAGCTATTATAAAGCGAATCACCTCACAAACTATGTATAGTTATTATTGGCAATCTGACTTGCCGTTTCCACCTTAGAGATAAAACTACTCACAGTTCTATTGTTTAACCATTCGAAGATGTTTGATCTCGTGGAAAACTGAACAA